CCCCTAGCACAATTTTTACCGTGCTTATTTCGATGTAGTTTGGTATGCTCCTTTGAGCGGCATTTATGAAAACCATTCACACTCCACGCTGTCGTTCTCACCCCCTTCACTCTTGTGCTGGGAATGTTGATCGGAGTCTGCTTTATTATTACGCAGTACTCCTTCCCTAGGTCTTATCAAAGTCTCTCTCTTGCCCCGTAAGATCCGTCTGCTCTCTCTTTGGTTCACGTATTTCACTCGACCACTGCCACCCCATCTGTGCTACTCGAGACGTTATTCTCCCTCCCCTGCGTCTGAGTGACTGATTCGAGGCTCAATTCTCTGATTCAGTATCATCGTCAAGCCTTTGCTACATGGACCACGTCTATGGTACAACAGACCTACTGTCAGACAACTAGCTTCAATCTCCGCCGCATCCCTAATACCAATTCTATGACTTCTTATGCCCCACTCTCTTGTGTGCCAACCCACAAATGTTGTTGTAGTTCAATGTTGAACCACAAGGCTTGTGGGTTGGCACACAAGAGACTAGGGCATAGGAATTAATAGGCTTTAATTGTAGATAGAAAGAGGATAGAAACAATGGAAGCTAGAGCTGGTTGGCTAATAATAGTCGTGATTCAAAGATCACTTCTATGATCAAACACGTCTATTGTTAGCCAAACAGCTTTAGTCTCCACATCGTCTTTCCTGTTTCTATCTGTGATACCATGTCCATCGCTTCCTACGTCCTAGTCTCGTGTGTGCCAACCAACAAATGTCGTGGTTCTCTTATTTTGATCAGGCTCACTAAAGACGTCTCTTCCTTGCTTCTGATTCTTCCTTTCTCGTCCCCTTGCGATCTCTTTTCCTAAAATAAAGGATATTACCTTGTTCCATTCGTCTTCTTTTGTTGATCTTCCTGTTGCCTGGTCTTCTCCTAATTTGTTTAGGCAATATGCAAAGTTTTCGCTGATCCTGCCTTCTTCAAGTCTCATGTTCATTAGATTTCTCTCAGTCAGTATATCAATGTCCTATCAAATCTTGCATTTGCTTGTATCTTTAACATATGCAGCCAAACTTTCGGTCAGTTTCCAGTCGATTTCGTGCACCGTTCGTGCAATGTGTTCAGTTATTTCGGATATTTTTGTATCCATGTTCCTGCAGAGTCTTTGATGTTCCTTGATTCATAGGCCGATTTTTCTTCCTGTTTCATCAATGTCCCGAACACTAAAGTTTATCCGTCTTCTCGTGTTGTGTTGGCAGACCGGTGAAAAGTGTTTTCTTCTCTTTTGCTATCACCTTGATATTCCATTTTCCTAATAAAGGTCGCAATTGTTGGCTCAGTTGTGATGAGGGCAAGCAGATCCATTTTTGGTTGTTATCTTCATTCCTGATCTGATTTTCATAAAATCCAAGTTGAAATCGTCCCTTTATAATCTTTACACTTTTCTCTATAAATTCTCTGGGGTATCCATTACTTAGACAAATCCGTGTCAGTTTGTCTAACTCCTCATCCCAGAACTCTTTGTCTGTTAATCGTAAGCTTCTGATGATCAAACTCCTCAGT